TCTTGCATTTGAAATTTGAAATTTCTGTCACTTTTTCACCTTTATATAGTTTCCTTTGACATTCCCACATGCTTCCACCTGAGCCTTGCTTCAGGAAAGGGATTTCAGCTTGAGAGGATGATTGTCAGCAGAGTCAGAAGAATTATAGAAAATATTTCATTTGGATTTTTTTGCCAAGTTGACTATAAGTGAACTATTTACCTTAAAACAATTGGAAAAAATTCTAGATTCCTTCTGTTTGGCTCATAGCCATTCTAAGTCACACCACACTATAGGGGGTATTTCACTGCAAATGATCCACTGTCACCTTCTTCCAGTGTGAGCTTATTCATTAAACCGGTGTCTGTTGAATTGTCTACAAACTGTGATGAACATAAGATGTTCATCAAATATTTACTGAGCTTGTACTGTGTGTCAGACCCTGGGGATAAGAGCTCTGTGGAGGAAAGTGAACAAAACAAAGCCCTTGCTGCCCTGAAGCTTACATTCTACTGGGAGGAGACTGACAGTAAAAAGTTAAATATATAATGCCTATATATAAGTATTTAGAGAGAAAACCTTGTAGGATAAGAAGGGAGTGGTGATGGACGGGTGGTCAGAAAGGACCTCTCTACGGAGGTAACATTTGAGTGGAGATATTAATGAAGTGAGAGAGTGGGTATCTGGCATGGCACACAGAACACGTGCAAAGGCCCTGAGGTGCAGGGGCAGGCTGGAGGTATCTGAAGGACAAGAAGGAGGCAAGTGTGCATGGACTGGAGTGAGTCAGAAGGGAAGTGGTAAGACAGGACATCTCTGTAGCCATGAGAAGAACTCTGACTTTTTCAAGTAGGATGAAAACCCATTGAGGGTTTTGAGGGCCCGTGGCATGATCTGACCCATGTTTTAAAAGGTTTTGACTTGACCAACAGGGTAAATGGTAGTGCAATTTACTGAGAAAGGGAACATTGCGGGAGAACACCAGATTTAGAGGGTGGAAATCAAGCATTTTGTTTTGCTCAAGTAGGATATAAAACACTGGTGTCAGGATGGTTCAGAAATGGAGAGAGAGATTTGGGAGACAGCAGCTTTAAGGTGCTTTTAAACCCTGATCCTCTATGAAATAGACATGGGTCTTGCCCCCAAGGGGTTGACAGGCTAGAAGGGAAGAGATGTGTAAAACAGGAAGTGGTAACGTGGAAGGATGAAGAACATATGGGCAAGTGAGTCATTCCGTTTGGTTAGAATCTAGGTGTTACACTCATTGGTTTCCCTCCTAAAGGATCAGGAAGGATACAAAGGACTATTTGCCTTTGAGATCAGTTAATCCAATGACAGCCAGCTGCTAAGTCTGTTGGCTAGAGGGTTAAAGTTAACCCTGAACTTATTGCCTCCCTCTTCTTCATATTCTTTATCTAATTTATTACCAATACCTGTTATTTTTCTTCACAAATTACTCTCAAAATTTGCCCTTTTCTCTTCATTTTTACTGCTGCCACCTAAAGCTTAGTCTTCATCCCTTTACTCCCCTGCTCTCTCTCTCTCTAGAATATTCTACATACTATTTAAAAGAATCATCTGGAATATTTTTATGTGTCCAGCCTTATTTTTCACTGTTTTTCCCCACCATCCTGTTCTCCTTACTGAATTGTGAAATGCATGGTGAACTGTCACAAACAGTCTGAGCTGGTTAACCACTCTCAAATGCGTGATTAAGCAATGTGTATGGGTGACAAATGTTTTCTTGCTTAGCTGGAAGCTAACCCTTTTGACCTCCTGCTCTCAGATTCATCACCCTTTTATAAGTGGGGCAATTAAGAGATGAGCTCTGGATCCTTCCAGAAGCGCAGACATACTTTGTATGGTTAAGTATCATAGGGCTCTGTGATCCTCCAGAGCACCTGGAGGGGTCCAGGTGTGGAGGAGCCTCTGCAGGGGTTGATTCTTCATCGGGTCTGGAAAATCTCCTTCTGAATATGGTTAAACTCATGTTTTCCTGGGTACAAGAAACACTTTAGGAGTTCCATGGCAGACCTTTTACGTTTAAGTTTCAGGTTTAAAATTCTCTATGAAATTAGCCATGAGTAGATTTCTTACCAACTATTCATAAAACATCTAAAGTAGTAATGTTTTTCCTTTCCACCAGGTTTTTGCTGACGAGGGCTTACAGCTTGCTTCAAGTGTACAAGCTTTCTCAAAACAGGTAAGACAGGTCTACTGCCTGCTGCTGGTGGTATGTCACAAGGACCCACTTTGGGGGTATATTATTAAGGTATAAAGGTATTTAATGTTTAAAAGATGGAGTTTTGTTGGAATTGTTATAACTTCCTAAATTACATTTCAGCTAAAAGATGATGACAAACTTATGCTTCTCCTGGAAATTAACAAGCTGATTCCTCTGTGCCACCAGCTGCAGACAATAACTAAGACACCTTTGCAGAATCAAGTGTTTCTAAAGGTAAAAGGGCGGGTGGGTTATTCAGGTAGACATTTTAGAAACTTTCACACTTCTTGGTTTATCAGATTAGCTTCCTGCCCCTTTTTCTTCAAAGTGTTAATACCCACAGAAGGGCAATTTGTTTCCCTTTTTCATCCCATGACTGCAAGAATCACTTATTACCTGCAGTTATAACTGACGCCAGGGAGCAGTAGGTTCACCAAGTAAATTAGCTTTTTGGACATGATTAATTCCACAGCACTGAGCAGCTACCCGTAAATCCTGATGTCATCACATGTCTAACTAGGGCACAAACTCCTCAGAGTATGGGCCCCCATTTTTTGTGTTAGGGAATTGGACTTATGCCAACAAGGCAGAGTGCAAGGAATTGCAAAGTCGGGGCTTCACTCCACTATTTGGAGTACTTTGAGAAGCTCCTAAACAGCCTGAAGTAGAACAGGTTGATTTTCCGTCCATTCTTCCTGGGGTTCCATGAAGTCGGCATGACACCTGGGCAGCAATCCCTGCACCTGTGTTCCAGGGCCTCAGGTCAGCTCACCTGCCCTAATCTATAGACTTTTCAAGATCACTTAGGTTTCCATAATGGAGAAATTTTATCATTTTAAAACTAAATAGATGATAGTCTTTTGAAGTACCCTTTGTAAAGGAATTTGATTTGCTTGCTTTCTGTCACTATAGGTTGATAAGTGTATTACAAAGACAAGATCCATGATGGCTATCTTGGTCCAACTTCTTTCACTTTGCTATAAACTGCTGAAAAAGGTGAGATAGTTTTTCTATCTTCAACTGACATTACAAAAGCTACCTTAAAGGAAAATGCAAAAGAAAATAGTTACTATTTAATTTTGCAATCTTTATTTTTAGAGTAAAGCAGAAACTAATTGTCTTAACTCTTTCCAGCTTCAGATGGAAAACAACAGATGGGTCTCAGTTACAAATAAAGACTCTGTGGATGGTAAAACTTGAGAAGCTTTTGGGGTCAGATCTCTGGAACATCACGTGACAAAGCTGACATTTTTAGAAAGCAAATGATACTTTATATTTTCAGAAATTCAACAATTTTATAAAGAAAACAATACTGAAATCTTGCTTTATTTTCTGATCATGAAACTGATTGTAAAGCTTTTTGACAACTAATAAATGCCATGATAGCTGCTAGATGCTAATTGCAGTATGATTTTAAAATGGGACATTGCCACTGATAATGTCTTTAAAAGTCAAACCAAATATTCGAACTGTCTTAATGACAGTTTAATCCAAAGAAGCTGTTTTGAATATGTGCTCACCTTTGACATATTTTACCTTAACTTCCTATTTTCTTTTTTTGTTTAAGCTTATCATCCAGAACACTGATTTTCAGCACAGGTTTTCCTTAAACCTGTGGACTCTTCTTCAATCCCTCTGTCCACCAGTTGTGACCATCCCTCTTTGCTGTCCCCTCTGTCACAGAGCATCCATGCTGGTAGCACGCATTTGTTCTCTGACACACGTTTCACACAGCACAGGCTGTCTGTTGTGAGGCATGGCCCTCTCCCATTCCCAAAAGCAAGGTCATGGAGCCGACTCCGTGGAGTCCTGGAGCTTACTAGGAGATGGTTTTTGGTTCTCATTCTAGCATAGCTGGCCTCTCTGCCCTGAATGTTAGCTCGAACTCCAAGCCTATTTTACTGGCTTAAAAAATATTTTTTGAACTCTCCTTCTCAGTAGTGACTGATGGAATGGAAGACATAAGACACAGAATGATGGAACTAAGAAGCTGTTTGAAATAAATTCTGAATAATCATACATTTTAAAAATGTGCCTTTGGAATGTTCATTATAAAACAAACATCTTTCTTTAGTCTTTTTAATCTTAGGGTTTAAAGCCTTGTGTTTGCTTTGAGGTGGGGTTTTGATTGCAGGATCCTGTTTATAGGTTCTGTCCTTATGATACAGTATGGTAAACTTTTCTGAACTCTCGATAGTGCTGGTATCCCAATGCTTTGAAAGGCATTTTGAAATCTAACAGGACATGCCAGTTGCCAAATGGCAGTAGTTACAGCAGCTTATCTGATGATCATTATCTGGGTTAGCCATCACAATCAATATTCACAAGATACTGAAGAGCCACAGTACTACCAATTAGCTAAGTCAGTATTATATTGAAGGAAACCTGAACTTTTACCATAGGCCTCAGGGAGAAAATGGGATGCACTCAGCTTGGTTAACGACCTTTATAAAATATTCTTTTATAGAAATTATCCAGCGTGATTTTTATTCCCTGAAACCAAAGTTTTCTTTTAAATTACAATAGAAATAATGGGAGAATGTAAGGTAATGTTATATGTAAAACAGATGTAAATTCTTTTACTATCTTTAGTGTCTTTGTTTTATGACGTCTTCAGGAATCACTGTTTGTGTTACTTGAAATGGGGACCTGCTGGTTTGTGCTGACATTTTCAGCTCATAGCACTGCCGGTGTAGATGTTTGCAGACTTACTGCCTGTATCACGTCTGGTGGGTATATTTAGGGGGCAGTCACGCTAGCACTCAAGTTACAATAAGTTTTTCTTGTAAGTCAAAAATAATTTTAAAATTTTATTTACAAAATACTTTTACATACCTGAAAAGAGAATATTCTCTTATTTAAGTGCAAGTAGGGGTGGGGAAGGGATAACATAATTATTGACTTCAACAGCATAAGAGTATGATAGAGAACCAAAGAATTTACATGTCAAGTGATTTCTTCTGTATTAAATAATTGTTTTATTTAAAGACAGAGATATTTAAATATATGTATGTGTTGCAGCCCTTAAGGAAAAATAACAATTTTTAAAGTCCTTTCATTTAAAATTCAATGTAAAGAACTATACAATCTTAAACCATAAATTCATAGTTTTTTTTAGTTTAAATGTGAGAGCTTTTGTTCCATTCAAAGGCATCTGTCTATGAATTACAGTAACTTCTTTGCTTGTCTCTCTGTCACTAGCGTGTGAGACTGAGAGACTACAATGTACGTATTGGCAATAACCAGCTTAACACTGCATATGTTAGGAAAGCCCTTTGTATTTTTCAGTCTTTTCACGTGTCGCTCATTTAAGAAGCCACAGTGTTAACAGTTCTACTTTGCTCCAGAGAGGAAGGCCGCCCCAGCCCATAAGGAGTAGAGAAGGTACACTTAGACACTGCCTCTCCCTTGCCACCTAAAAGGAGAGGAGCTGGGGCAGAAGGGATGGGCCTAGACGTTTTGGTAGCGTCCCACTGAAGCAGACTGCGTAAGAAAGGCTAGCTGGGCTTTTTAAAACTTCACACTCATGAAAAATTGAAGCAAAAACAATAACCATACCCTCACATTCAAACAGCAGTATGTCAAAATGTAGTATTTACTTTCAGTTTGCAGGATGATGGGTAAATTATTTTTACTTTGCTACTTAAAACTTTTCTGTCTTTTCCAAATTTTCCTCAAAGTGCTTTGTTTGTTAGTTTTTAATCAGAAAAACATCCCTTGCCTGCCAGTTGTTAGAGAGAAGGAAGAGAAGAACAGAGTGAGTGTGTGGGCAGGGCAGATCTGGGAGGTTGAAGACGAAATGGGAACCAAGGCCTGTGACACAAGACAGAGGGAAGACTAGGTTAAGTTTTAAGCTCAGGCCTCCTTGCAGATGGCTTTGTATCTTCACATACGCCGGTCCTTCTTTAGTGCACGGATTTAGGCCAAGTAGGAATGAGAATCCTGCGGTGTGTTTTATTCCATCTGAATCCTCAAGAAGTAGCTGTTGTGGCATTAATGCGTTTTACCACAACTTCTTCATATTGCTTTTGTGTTAGTAACCCTTCTGTTATGCTTTTACTTTCTTCAAATTTGGGCAACACTACTGCAATGTAGCCTTCAGTGGATGGCTAGGAAGGAAAGAGAATGTTTAGTACTGTCAAATGATAAAAAAAAATCAGATAAAAAGAATGTGGATGGAATCATAGTTTTTTTCTCTCTTTTACCTTCTCTTGAAGAATAGATGGCTTATGGAGAATGTTTTCATTCACTTCCATCAATCGTCCTCTAACACAGCTATTAAAAAGAAGAACTCTTTTGAAGCAAAATACTACCTCTTTTGTTTCTCCAAAATTATGGTTAAAAAGTAACTCACCTAGATATGGTGTATTCTTCTCCATCTGAGCAGTAAATCTTACATAGAGGTGCAAGTTCTGTTAGAAACTGCGCCCCCTGATAATAAAAAGGAAGAAGTAATTAATTGATGTACATTTTCACTTTCCTTTGAGAGGCAGCCCTCAGTGTTATAACAGGATATATTCCTGGAACTGGTGTTTTAAATAAAAATGACTTAAGTATAGAAAAACCATTCATTTGTTCAAACATGCATATGACAGGTACTGCTGGGCACAGCCAGCTACCATCCTAGGCTCTTGGGGAAAAGCAGACTAAGACACGTGATAAAAGGTAGTTTAGTTACAGATTAAGAGTGTATTTTATCAAATGTAAATGAGAAAGCTACATGTATCCCAGTGTAAAGATTTCAAAATTGCAGGGAAATCCATCAATGGGCAATTATAGAAAGTTCAGCATGACAGAGTGACAGCAATATTGTACAAAGTTAGTTTCAGTAAGCTTCCTACCTTACTTTTATATTAGAACTTAATAGATAAAAGAACTTCTTTCTTAGGGTCAATCACTGAGACTTTTTAAAGGGGTATTTTTCTAATTAAGAAAAATGCACTTTGAGGAAAATTTGGAAAACAGAAAAGTTTTAAGTAGCATATAAGAAGAATTTGCCCATTATCCTATAGTCTAGAAGTAAATACTACATTTTGACATACATCTGATTGAATATTATGGCATGGTTATTGTTTCACGTACTCCACTCTCATGTGTTGCTCTCTTTTTTCCCTGGAGTTTTTCCTGTAGTGAACATTGGCATTTGAGGTCAAGATGCTATTCTTTATGACCTCTTTATCATTCAAAAGATTATCAGACCACATTCAGATGTTACCACATTGACTTCACTCCTCTGCTTGTGGGTACTTCCTTTCAAAATATTCATCAGTGCAACACCCCACTTTTGGGAGGAGGGGCTGGGGATTCACCTCAGAGGGTTTGTCTACCACTGGGTCTGTGTCAAGACAGCAGAAGTGTTGTGACCCTTTTTCTTAACCTCCCTTGGGAGAATAAATGATTGGCAGTGCTGAGATCCAGGCGAAACTTAGCTGTGGTGGGTTCCACGTGCAGGTCCCTCTCTGTTCTTCAGTAGTAATAACAGTGTTACTGTTTCAGAAAAAGATTTATCGTAGGAACTTCACAAGCACCAACTGCTGTAATTTGTAGACTTTATCTTTTAAGAAAGTTTCATGCTTTTCTAAGTCCCTTTGTTTCCTGACCAAGGAAAAATCAGTAATTATAAGGCATGTTATCAGGGGATTTCAGGCCTACAAAGGGGAGTATAAACAAGGGTCTCTTGGATCTGTGAGGATAATGAGCAGAAACTCTGAGTATGAACGCAGTAAATGAAGGACCTAAATCACCCACTGAAACTTTCCTATCCAGCTGGTATGTCAGGATACTTTAGTATGGTACCGAATTACCCTTGGTGGATCCCCTCTTTTAATAAAATGTGTCCATCTTGCCTAGAGTTGTAGAGGGAAGAGAAAACATTTTGTACAACTGAGCTTTGTATGGAGGTAGAGGGTGTGGCTAAACATGCATTAAATGGGCAACAGTTAAAGAATGGAAAATGCTAAGGAGCAAATACTGTATTTTTTCTCAGATTGATTTTTGTTCCACTACCTCAGGATATTTTTTTTTCTTTTTTAATTTACTTGTGAAAAATATATGGTAAAGAAGAGTTGGTCACTTAAATTTTACAGAACTCAAAATACTGGTTTAATAAAACTACAAGGGAGAAAATAGCTCATTATATTGGTATTAGAATTGTTTCTTCAAAGGCCTGCCTTCCCCATCCTCAATCCTGGGCGTGATAGGGATGGTGGTACAGCACTTAATATGAGAGATACTATACCTCCTGAAATACCTCATTTTTTAGAAGGGAGAATTTCTTTAGAGTTAAAGTATTCTTAAAATCAGCACCTCAAACGGCCAGGAAGTATGCGGAGTGGATTCTAAGACTGACTGGATCTATCATTACTATGATAGAGAGGATTTAAGTAGAGAATTATAGGAACATACCCGCTTAAATTTCCCAGAGACCTTGTTCTGAAGTCTGCTACAGTTGGTACTGATTTGATAGGAAATGCTTTCAATTGTTTTTCCACTTTGAAGAACTGGATGAGATTCTGCCAATGTGATGACACATACTCTACAAGGAGCAAAAATTGATCCTGTATTATTGCTTGGTATAATTCTTCCTCCTCTAACAGTATTCCTACTAGCACAAGAATATCTGAACTGACATTTGTTTAGTCAAACTATCCTCTCCCCCCAGTCTCCTCTGGCTGCTATTGGAGCATAACTGTAGAAGGGAATACAATAATAAAAGAGGAGAAAATGGGATTGAATATCCTTCTCAGAAGAGGGAAGAGTACCAGAGGTCCTTAAGTAGCACTGAGGTAGAGGAGAGAGAAGTAAGGCATGCCTCCATGTACAGGATACCTGTGCCTCTACCCAGCCCTCTCTATGGGCTCTGGCAACTCAGTGCTTAGGCACAGACCAGTATTTCAGATAGCGGCTGACTGAGAGCCAGCCCTGGTGGTCCAGTGGTTAAGATTTGGCACTCTCACCGCTGTGACCGGGTTTTGTTTCCTGGTCAGGAAACCACATTGCCTGCCTATCTGTTGTCATACTGTGGCGGCTTGTATATTGCTGTGATGGTGAAAGCTGTGCCACCAGTATTTCAAACACCAGCAGGGCCACCCATGGTGGACAGGTTTCAGTGGAGCTTCCAGACTAAGACAGACTAGGAAGGACCTGGCCACCCACTTCTGAAAAAATTGGCCATGAAAACACTATGAATAGCCATGAAGCAGTGTCTGATATATATCACTGATATAGCCCCGGAAGGTGAGAGGATGGCAGGGTTCCGCGTTGCTGTCCACAGGGTGGCTAGGAGTCGGAAATGGGAATGTACTCGAGAGCATTAATAACAAGCTGACTGAGGGGTGTGGTCCTTCATGTGGATGTTTGGGTCATCAAGTTTAGGGTGAATAGGCACTGAAAAGGCTCATCCTTGTCAACCAAACTCCTCTAATAATACCATTTCAACACAGTGGAAGATAACCATTTAGTAAACATTTGTTCAGTCCAAGACCATATCAGCCTACAATACTAGAAAAAAGGGTTTTTTGATGATTTAAAATTTCCCATTTACTCACCGGTTAGAGTGCTGTAGTACACAGTGGTCCTCACAGGGTTTTCCTTTGACATCTAGAAGAAGAAATGAGTCTGTTGGTTGTTGGGTCAATATTTACTACCACTGTGCGGTACTTTCTTTGGTTTGTAGAGATAATTATGAAGACTGGACACATACTGATCCGTGGTATCTGTTCATTACTCAAAAAGATACATCTGCAGGCTTCCTATAAAGTATTTAAGGGGACCTTGCTCAGATGGAGTCATTCACTCAATGTTATCACACAAATGTGATAATTAACTCTTTGCTGCATCTTGCTTTATCCTCTTTAAAATGAGTACACTCATTTCTATTAGGAAAATGAGATTGCAATGCATTCTTTATATAGTAGGATATGCTTTACTGGTCAGTTTTAGAGTGACTAGCATCCTGGTTTGTGTAGGGCTGTCCTGATGTTAGCGCTGAATGTCTCAGATTCCAGGAAACCCCCTAGTCCTGGGTAAACTGGAATGGTTGGTCACCCTAAATATGGCTAATAAAACATGTTACAGCATTTTTTTAAAGTACACCTCTTATCTCTGAATGAAACGGAGCACGTAGGGGTTAGAGGAGGCTCCCCAACGATGCTCCCACCACTGATATTTACTAGGTACGCAAAGTAGTAAAAGAGGATACCTACTTCTAAGTGGCAAATATATAACACCAGCGGCTTCTCTTTGAGTAAAACTGTTAGATTCTGCTTTCTAGTGCCTCTATTGTAACTCACCCTCTTTTCTCCATCGCTACTGGCTCTACCTTAGTTTCGACCTGATCATTTAAACCGTTTTATCTATCGGCACTTCCTATAGGATTGAGCGCCTCAAATCCCTTTAGGCTCTCGAGGAGATAGCAATGCAGCCCTGACTACCTCGGGGGCCTCACCTTAGACCACCACCTTCCCGCAAGCAGCCCACCCTCGAACTCGCACTGCCCTCGCCGGCCCTAGAAAGCGCCCTGCTGTATTTCAGGCCTCCGAGCCTTTGCAAATGCCATTCCTTGGGCCTAGAAGGCAACAGAGAGGTCCAGTACCTTCTGACGTGGAGGTGAAGCGCCAGGGAGAGCACGCGTGGTTTACGATCTGTCACCATAGTCCCCACAGCATCAGGCCAACGTGGCCGAAGAGAGATCGACATCATTCTTCACTTACCTGCTTTGTACCAGCGAGTGAAGTAACGATCTACGAGCGACGGTACCGCGGGCTCTGCGGCCAACTGCTCGGTAGCCATGGCGACCCCGGGCGCCGCTAACCCCGCCTTCCGGGTCTGGAGCGCTTCCTGTCTGCAGGCCCGGGAGGAGGGTGTCCTTCCGGCGCGCAGCCCGCAGCGTGCGCATGCGCGATGCTCTCTTGGCCTCGCAGGCTCCTCCCACCGGCGCCAATTAGTGCGCCGTGCTGTGATGTCGACGTCAAACCGGGATCAAATACAATAGGCGGAGCAAGAGGGCGGGGGGACAGTGGGCGGTGGCCAGCGCAGCACCTCCCCTCTACCTTGCAGGGGCCGCGGAGAAGGCCGGCCACGCCCCCTCAGCCTCGTGACGTCAATCGCGCGCCGCGCCACGCGTGTGCGGCGTAGCTCGCTAGCGTGTCACCCTCTTGCCCGTCGGCCCCCAGGCCCGCTGCAGCCGCTACCCCCGGGGGTCGAGTGGCCGCGTGGCCCGGTGCGCGCCGCGAAAGTCCGCGATCAGCGGACAGAGAGAGGTGCGTGCGCAACCCGGGGCGGGCTCCGGGAGGCCGGCTGCGCGTGGCCGGGGAGGCGAGGGCGGACGCATCGCGGTTGGAGGGGCCTCAGGGCGCGGCGCAGGTGAGCGTTCGAGCGACCCACGCAGGGTGGGAGGCGCGGAACAGGCCCAGTCCGCCAGGCGGTGTCCTGATGAAGGGGACCTCTGCGCGCCCACCCTGCCTGCTGCAGGCCCAGGAGTGGAGCGCGGTGTGACCATCTCTGCCCTCGAGCCTCAAGTTCTCTTTCTGCGGACTTGCCGCCTGCTCCATCCACAGCCTCCGAGGGGCTCTGCGGGGCGCGGCAGGCCGGGGATGACGTGCTGCTCCCTCAGCTGCAGCCTACTCAGCCTCTGGGTTCCATGCAGGAGTGGACCAGACCGCTGAACCAGTTAACGCGCCAATTAAAGCGAACCAATGAATGCATAATAGAAGGCGACGGTCATTAGAGGTTCGGATCTTTCTCTTTTTGCTGAGGAAGACTGACCCTGAGCTAACAGCCATGCCCATCTTCCTCTACTTTATATGTGGGACGCCTACCATAGCATGGGTTTATAAGCAGTGTGTGGGTCCACACCCAGGATCCAAACTGGTCAAACCCGGGCCACCAAAGCGGAACTTGCCAGTTTAACCACTGTCCCACCAGGCCAGCCCCACATGTTCACTTTGACTGCGGGTCCCTACTCGCGTCCGCGACTTTTTCGTGGAGATGTCCCTTGTGCTTCTCCATGTAGTGTATATCGTGTGGCCCTCTGCCTCCTTAAACTGTGAGCTCCATGGAGGCAGTGACAGACAGAGTCGTCTCTGGTCCTCAGATGTAGCACTTAGCAAGTCCTCAGTCGTTGTTTGATGTAGGTTACAAACCCGATGGTAGGATTAGATACTGTGTAAAGGATTCAGACTGTATGTTGACAGCCATGGAGGTGACCAGTGAATAGTTTAATATGAAAATGTAAGCAAAAGGGAGGCAGACACGATTTTCAGCTTGGGGGACAGAGAGTAGAAATGCCATGTCCCCAAATGGGGAGGGTTGGGGCTAGACATTTAGATCTAATCAGTGTATTAGTGATCTGCCTGGTCCTTGTAGTAAAGGGCCAAGAGGTGGATGGATGAAGGAGCAGGGGAAGAAAATGATGAGCTCATCATGAAGAAAGGGAGATGAATGATGAGCTCACCTTGGCAGGTGATTTTGAAAGCTCCGTGATTTGAGAGCTCAGGTTGTTTGCTGTGTTTGTCAGTTAGGGAAGTAGAAACCACACATTATTTCAACAGAATTTGATATGAAGAATTGATTAAATACCTATTGGAGGAACAAAAAGCAAAAGGGGGCAATGAAGTAAGATAAAAGGTAAACTGATAGAAGCAGCTACAACACTTAGCTAGGGCTTGGGTTCAAAACAAGGGAAGATGTTGGGGTTATCAGAACCTAACCTTGGAGGAGAGGCACTGTCAAGATGGGACTCAGACTTCTGGTGTTGATACCTCCAGAATTCAGAGAAGCCCCTTGTTACTGGATTTCAGATGGCTGGAGAGGGGCCTGCCTGGTTAGTGCTGGTATCTCTGGGGAACAGTAAGATAACAGAAAAAAGTGAGTCCTTCTCAAGTCCTTCTGCCTTTAACGTCCAGATTCTTATCCTTGGGTCTGTGGATGCCAGGGCTTCACAGGTTGTCAGTGAATAGAATCCAAGTTCAGAGGGAGGGATATGAAGGCATTTGAATGATCTGATCAGGGCAACAATAGTAGCATGATTATTATTAGATAAACTAGCGTGAAAGACGGACAGGAAACTACACATCTGGCCCCGTCTGTTCTCATCTCTTGCTGCTCTGTCCCTTGCTTACTCTCCTATAACCAGACACGCCAGTCATTCTTTCATCTCAGATCTACCCATCCTTTCAGATACTACATCAGTGGTTATCTCTAGGATGTTAGAAGTTGAAATATATATAATTTTTATATGCTTGGAAAAACCTAAACTTTTTAATAGAATTAGATCTAAATTAAAAACCTGCATAGTATAATACAGGTTCAAATAATTTCCAAAAGTTCTTGAATATAAATGTCACCAAAGCTTACAAAACCGTTGTCTGCCTTGATTTTCTTCCTCACTCCCACCATATATGGTCTTGCCTTCCTCTTAACCCACATTATATGTTGTATCATTCATATTACACTTAACATTCTCTGCTGTGTAGCATAAGGATTAATGTCTTTATTCTTTCATTGTCATGTATGAAATGCAAGGCAAGAGAATTTACCTTGGATTAAGGTGACAAGGCCAGTGTGGTCTGTGTAATTTCCACCCCTAACATAAGTTAGGGACTTCCAATTATACGCTTTAAAGGGATCTGAATGTGAATATCCAGCACATTAACATTTATTTTTTTCCTCACAGATAATGTTATGCATTAGAACAAGTTTGATTTTGCCTGACCAAAATAGGTTTCCTGTTTATCATTCTTTTCTCACCTTTTCTATTGCGCTGGTAAAACCAGGCCAGGAAGGCAGAGTTATGTGAAATAGTGTTATCAAATCATCAAGCTCCTCAAATGTTGGTCATCATTTTGAAGTAAATTGTTGTAATTTCACTGTCTTCTTTTCCCACGGAGAACAGTATTTTTCTTTATTTCTATATTTGATTTCAACTTTTATTTTTTTAATGAAGATATAAAGTCAGTTTATAAATAAATGTACGTGGTGATATTAATTTTATTCCAGGTTTTCTTCAACTGCCAGGGTATATATATTGTTTTTTATATGATTTTATAAATCTGTCAGGTTGTAAAGATATCCTCATATGCAAAAATAAAACATTTTCCCATCCATTTTGTTCATTTCATCTTACCTGAGGAATAACCAATGTTAAATCTTTTTGAAGGAAAAACTCTGAGGTTTGAATCTTGCGTCTCTCACAGAGTAAGAATGTAAAATGTATTTCAGAACCTCAATTTGTAGACCATAGATATACACAGTTGGTCAGGTTGCTACCAAACATCCCTGTGTGGATTCAGATTAGGTCGGGGTTTTTTTCCCCTTGATTATTCTTACTACCACTTCCCTGCCCTCTGAATCATTTTGCTTATATGAGTGTTGTTTATCACCATTATGCTGTTTCCTTCTCTCAGAGAAATTAAAGCTTCATCAAGGGATATTTGTACTTTTCTCTTAGGAATCACTTCATCATGAGAAATCTAAAGTTACTTCGGACCCTGGAGTTTGGGGATATTCAGGCTCCGGGGAAACCTCAGTGCCTCTCTCTCCGAACTGAACAGGGGACAGTGCTCATTGGCTCAGAACATGGCCTGATAGAAGTAGACCCTGTCACGAGAGAAGTAAGTTATTGATAGCGCTAGCACTTGGCATAACCTTGACTTGTCTTCTTCCAGACTTCCTTCCCCCTGATAGTCTTTACTGCAGATCTTACTGAATTCACATCCTCCTGAATGAACATTCTCTTTCCTTTGTATAGATGTCAGATTACACATAACTTATATAGTAACCTACATTTAACTCTGCTTCTATTTTAAATTTAAGTTGACAAAACTCTGACATGCTTAGTGTGGGTGCCCCTGCTGTTTACCCTTTCTGCCATGTAAATGCTACTTAGAACAGTGGTTCTCAACTGTGAATGCAAATGAAAATTCCCCGTAGAGCTTTTAAAACCGTTTCAGCCTCCATCCCTTAGCAGCTAAATCAGAATCTTTACTGCTGGGTCCTGAGCATATGCATATTTAAAAGCTCTTTGGATTGCTTCTGATATCTTTTGTTAATTTTATTTTGCTACTCATATGTTTTAGGTGATTACATTCTTAGTCCCTTTTCCCCATGCTATGGAAATCTTAGAAACCCATAGTTATTAGCCTCATGTTTTATTGGACTTTTTTTAAGAGACTAGGCTTCTTGCTTTTGTTTAGTGTTTGCTTGGCAAAAAGGTCACATTAACTATTTTTCTTGTTAAAGATAGTAAAGTTGTGATATTTCTCAAATGAAAGTTTGGCTTTTAATTTGTAAAACATTTTTCAAAGCTTTTGTATTATAAAAAGCATTAAAAATATTTTATTTCTGGAAATGTTATGACGGGTTCTTGGAAGTAGATTCGCTTTATTTGCTTTTGTGTTTGTTTTGGTGAAAGGTGAAAAATGAAATTTCTTTAGTGGCAGAAGGCTTTCTCCCAGAGGACGGAAGTGGCAGCATTGTTGGTATTCAGGACTTGCTGGATCAGGAGTCTGTGTGTGTGGCCACAGCCCCCGGGGATGTTATACTCTGCAATCTCAGCACACACCAGGTAAGTGGAAAAGTCCAGTGAGGAGGAAATTTCAAGCATCCTCAAACACATCACTTGTTTTGTGTAGAAATTTAAAATGTCAGGAGCCATAATATTTAAGTGTTTCGTGGATTAGAGGCTTTGCATTATGTATTTCTTTACAAAAGGTTACTGATATGACTTTAGCTGTATTTCAGGATTCTTCTAAAACTTAGTCTTGTCTGTTGACATAGCTGGAATGTGTTGGGAGTGTAGCCAGTGGTATCTCTGTCATGAGTTGGAGTCCTGACCAAGAGCTGGTGCTTCTTGCTACAGGTAAGCTT